TACTAGTCACCGCCCCCTTGGACGATTTTGCCCTTCTCATTTGCACGATGTCAAGCAGTTCTGAGGTATGTTTTTTTTGTCCCGCCCGAAAAAACGTCCGGACCCGGCTGTGTCCGGCCGAAAAAATCGCACGGAACATAAGCCGTACGGCCGGTTCGGCCGGACCTAACCGAGTCCGTACGGTATTACGGGCCGTACGAACCGGTCTGTGCACTAACAGACTGGCCGTACGGCCATCATGTTGTCCGGTCTGGCTGGCCGCACGGGACCGTTCCGTGCAGTCCGACCGGCCGGAAATGGTTTTTTTTTTTTTTTGTTAGAACTTTTTAATACATTTATTTAAATAATATAAAATAAAAAATTCTAATAATAATAATATTTATTAAAAAATATTAAAATATATTTATTTGAATATTTCAAAATAAAAAATTCTAATAATAACAATAATAATAATATGAAAGGAAATAAATATGACATTAATAAATTAAAAAAATATTAGCATGATAATATTAATAATTATTATTGTAATATATTTATTTGAATATTAAACATATAAAAAATTAGCATAATTATATTAATAATTATTATTATAATATAAAAGAAAAATATTATAGTATATTTATTCGACTATTATAAAATAAAAAATTCTAATAATAATAATAATAATTACAATATAAAAGGAAATAAATGACATTAATAAAGTAAAATAAATTATAATATATTTATTTTAAATTTTAATATTAAAAACAAAAATATTAGCATAATAATATTAATAATTATTATTATAATATAAAATAAAACTATTATAGTATATTTATTTGAAGATTTATTATCTATAAAGTGAACGTTAATTAAAAATTAGTATGTTACATGTTTCAATTAATTATTTATATTATAAGTATGCTTTAAAATTATTAAATATGTAATACATTGCAGGTATCTTTAGAAGATTTTGGAGGAGATGGTATTGATTACCGTTCCGCTTTCAATACAACTACGCTGTTTATTAGTGATGAGGAGGCTATTAAGGATGCAAAAAGTACGGCAATTTTGAATGGTTTTTTTTTACTATTTCGAAGCACAAAAAATTCGGAAGGCTGAAGATCTTGAAGTGCCATCGAGGCGAACGTTATAGAGGCAAAAACGTAGATATGAATAAAGCTGTTTCTAGACATTCAAAAAAGAAAGCGTGCCAGTGCCCTTTTGAGATACAAGTAAAGCGTGTTGCCAGATCGACATACTGGATGATCCACACGAGTCAAGACGAAACGAAGGGATACCATAATCATTCATTTGCTGTGTATCTTGAGGGCCATCGACAGTCGAGCGGCATAAGCCAGTCATCAAAGAAAATTATTCGTGATATGACTGTTGCGCATGTGACACCAGCAAATATTTTGGCCGCCGTCCAGGAAAAAAATCCACACGACCATGCTAATCGGAGACATATATAACTATAGAGACTGGTTGCGTAAGGAAAGTTTTGAGGGTAGGGACGTTCCTACCCAACTTCTACATTTGGCTAGCAGCAGCAAGTATATAGTTTATACAAATGTCGATCCGAATATAAATGCGCTGACACACATATTCATGGTCCATCCTGATTCAGTGAGTATATTCCGGACTTATTATTGGTTTGTCGGCATAGATTCGACGTACAAAACCAACAGGTATTTTAAATTTACATATATGTTATTAGTATTAATTTAAATTTGTATTTTATAATTACATATATTCATTTATATTAATTTATATATATGTTTTTATACATATTATAATAAATTATATACATTTTTTTAAATTATTACATATATGATTTTAAATGTTAATATATTAATTTTATAAAGTAACAATTATTATTATTTAAATGCTAATATTTTAATTTTATAATATTCAAATAAATATATTATAATATTTTTTACTTTTTTAATGTCATTTTTTTTTACTTTTATATTATGATTATTATTATATTTATTATTATGCTAATATTTTAGTTTTTAATTTGTGAGTAAATATATTATGATATTTTTTCTTTATTAATGTAATATTTTTTTCTTTTATTTCATAAATATTATTATTTTAATTTTTTTTATGTTTTTAATTATTTTTATATTATATCAAAAATAAGTCCCGGCGACTTTTTCACGTCCCAAATAAATTGCCAAGCAAATGAGTCCTCCTACAAGTTAACTAATTATTGTCTCCGCTTTCATTTCCTTCTTTGCCCCATAAATTCAAGTTCCTACAAATAAATCAATTTCCTCTCACTTGTATTATTCAAAGTGGCTGCGTGATCATCTCTGTAATTGTGCTTAATTTTGTAAACTCCTTCTAAGCATGTGTTTGGGCCATAAATAATCTTGTATTGGGGCCCATTCTCTCGCGAACACTCGTTGAATGCTCTGAATCCACAAAATACTTCAGTGAGCTGAAAATAAATATAAAAATATTAATGTGTATGAATCCGTCCAAATAATGAATAAGTCGAAAAATATAAACGTGCGAATAAATTTAATGTATAAAAATACACTATTAAATATATAAAATATGCACATTTTTCAACCTATCAAACTTGAATTTGGGAAGCTAGATCCCACCACTCGAGCTATTCATGCCAAGATTCACATTACTGAATATAAACAAATCTATTAATATATAATAAGAATTAACTTAATTCATTTTTAGAAACTAATTCCCGCCAAAAACATTAATTACAGCCTATAAATAGTAATTTAAATTAATTTCATAATATCGGTATTATGGAATATGGAATATGGATTGATATTTTTTTATTTCGGTACAGCCTATAAACATTAATTCCCGCCATTGAATATGGAACGATATTTTTTTATTTCGGTACAATGATATTTTTTATTTTATTGGGTAACAAATAATTCCAAATCATGTAGACATTTTTGGGTATCCGATACAAAAATATTTTTTTACAACTTTTATGGTAACAAAATTATCTTTTCAAAGTATCCTACGTCTAAACAGACTTATTATGGAATATTTACCATATTATTGTATGGTTGTTAACGAATTTACATTAATGTTTAATGTTTAATTATTAATTTTTAATTTACTGATATTAGGCAAAAAAATCTTTTCTGTCGCATGATAGTG